AATTGAATTCCAGGAACCCCAATCACTCTTTTAATCTGGCGCCATCCATTTCTTATTCTGGCGGGAGGGGGGGGGGAAATTAATCAAGTGCTAGGATTATGGCCCATTAAGGCTTGATGACTGCTTCCAAACCCACTGCCTTGGAAAAGACACTCGCCAATCAAAAGCTTTCACGTAGCGTTTTGGGACTCGAGACGCCGGAACCCTTTAGACCCTAAACCAACTTTCTTTCCGGCCCGTCCTCATGTTGCGGAAGTTTGGGGCACGCCAGAGTTCAAAGGTCCATGCTATCTACATAGGCCCCGAACTGGTTCCCATCTGAGCTTTAGTCTAAACTCCTTAAACGGCGGCTTATATAGGGGATTATACAAGGGAGTATTATAGGGGCTATTAAGCGGGGATACTTGGAGTTTAGACTATAGCTCATGTAGCGACTTTTGGCTGAACTCAGTTTTTTGGCTACATGAACTATTTTGGGGCGGTGGTGTTAGGATCGTGGATGTGCTCATCGCTTGTATGAGAGCCTCTTACGCAACCAATGCTTATCGACCGCAATGCCGAGCCACAGAGTCAGGAGTTCTTCAAAATCCCCTCAATGCATCTGAGACGGTCAGGTTTAAAATCTAGGCTTGAGGGTTCTAGGGATTTAGGGTTCAGTATTTTGGGATTAAAGGTATAAGGCTTAGACGTTAAACATTTGGACTTTTAGGGATGTAGGGTGTGGGCTTTGGCCTTTAATGGCATTCTGTTGGTCTGGGGATTTAGAGACTTGTCATTTCAGTGTTTTAGGGTCTAGTGTCTAGAGCGTCAGGGAAGTTCGGGTTTTTTGGGCTTCAGAGTTTGGGGATTACAGATTTGGTCTTAGACCGGTTCGGAGTAGGGATCCAGGAATTCATGGGATTCGGCTTACTGTAGCTTCGGGCTCAGAACCCAACAGAAAGGATTGTATTCATGTATAGTTTTAATGATCTGTGGACGTTTCGGCGGATTTCGATGCCTCGAGAGCCGTTAAGGCCCAAACCCTTGCCAGCTTAGATTTGGCCCGTTACCCAATTACCTTCTACATAGGATTTTGTGTTGAGGGTTTGTGTTTGCATCTCCAGCATCAGTTTCGGACTCTACCCCTGAAGCTCGCATCCTTTATTTGTCTTACAAGTCACCCAGCACAGAGCATGTTGTTATCAGCGGCTTCGCCAAAAGTCCTGTTGGGTATTCCGTGCTGGTGAACTCTTAAAAACGACTTCAAAGAACCCGGACTCCCAGAGCCTGACTTCTTTAAGCCCTATAAACCCTAAACACTGAATCACCAGAATCGTAAGTTCCTAAAGCCTTGTTTGAGTTTTGTCGCGAAACACGTTCGACCTCATGTCATTGAAAGGTTGAAAGAATGGTTACCTAACGTAGGGCCTCAGTCTTTTAGCTTAATTCTAGAGGCCCTCCTGGATATATGTAGGGTATATAGTATATAGTGTGTGAACCAAATCCAGAAACCCTACCTCCCTCCTCCCCGAACTACGATTTAGGGTTCAGGCGGGCCTAGTCTAAATGCACATGGTTTGAACCTCCGATTCATTTGCAGGCAGCAGTGGGCCAGAAACTGAGTTACCTCGATTGGGAAATGAACGAAGGCCTCGGATGAAGATATATGGGCTGTACTCTGAACTCCTTAAAGAGGGTTATATAGGGGATAGTGTAGGTGAGTGTTGTAGTTATGAAGGGGGATACCAGGGGCTTAGACTATAGCCCATATGATTTAATGGCTTCTCGGGATGGGGACTAAACCCTAAACCAAAAACTCTAAACCCATAACTCACAAAAGCCAACCTTTTCCGGGGTATGCTCCCGGATGCTTTGGTAGGGTTTGGCGCTTAGGGTTTATACACTTTAGGGTTCGTAGGGTTGAGGGTTTATAGTGTTTAGGGTTTACGGTCTGTAGGCTTTAGGGTGTACAGGGCTTAGGGTTTGGGGTTAAATCCCTCACGAGCCAGAGGGCTTCGAGCACCCGCACATTTCACTAGCCGTGTTTTACTCGCTTCACTTTCAGCTTTTAGGCACGGGAGAGCATTAAAACCCTAGACCACAGGCTAGTAAATCTTTCGCTTGCATAAACTCAACGTCCTCCCTGCAGGGTTCTTCAACTCCAGAAACATAGAGTGTTCACCTGAACTGAAGCTGCATGTCTATCGTGCAAGGAAGCTATGCAAGCAAGCTCCCATTATTCAGCAGTTCATGAATCCTCCAGCAAATTCAGACACTAGAAGCCTTTCGATACAACCCTGCCCTGGGCTAGGAAAAACTCAAACCACGCTGTTTAGGGCTAGGGTCCAGCCATGAATCCCTGGTGTCTAACGCGGATTTTGGGGAATGTGTTATCATAGATCATCATAGGCAAGTATACAGAGAATACCATATGGATCCATTCACTCATAGATGACTCCCCAGACCTCTGGTAGGATCTAAAAATTAGATCCCCTATATAAAACCCTTATAACCCCTATATGTTCCTGATATAATTCACCCTATGGTTCTAGGGGATCTAACTTTTAGATCTTTTTGGGGGTCTGGGTCTGCAATTGGATAGTTGGTGGGACACTGGCCACCTGACGGTCAATGTTCCATCTGCATGCGCAAGAAGCCCCGTACCCCGTACCTGCAGCCCAGCTACGACCCAGACACCCTGAAGTAAAGACCTTGCAAAGTTGTGTACCTATGATATGAAGAGAGTGGTATCACAATATTTCCTGAAACTATCCCTCTTCCATAAGGTTCGCATGGCATAGTCCCTATGGCGAACTCAATGTGTTGTTTTCACAAGGTTGACTTCTGGCAAGGTTTTGTACTTTCGCTGTCGGTTACAGACCGCAAACTGGATGATGTTTGGAGCTGAAAGTCAGCTTATTTGTTTCCCTCACTATGAAAGTCTTTCCAGTGAGCTAGAAATTTAAGTCCAGCTTAATTAGTGAGGATAATATGGGGAGCCTAGACATCACGCTTGTTGTAACAGAGACATGAAAATCAACCGCAAAGTAAAAACAACGGCATCGTGGGACAAACTTTGAGTCAAATACTGCAAGTGCTTTCCATCTACCAGCATAAAAACATTGAAAGATTGCGCTCCCAAAAGGGAGCACGATCAATTTTCCTTCAAAATGCCCGTAGATTACAAGGTTGATGCAGTCCGGATGGTGTTACTACTGAAGACATGGGAGTTTCTGCTGAGCATATCGAATCAGTGGGAACCCTATAATTATCTCTCACTGTATTTCGCTATGGGGTCCCTCAGGGCATCCCATCTCTGTTCGCAAGAAAGGAGTTTTCCAACCATCGTTCGTGGCGGAAGACACTCGAAACGGAGTGGTCGCAGACTGGATCATCGCGAAAGGCAGACACTTTTCGCAGGGTTTACGGTTCAGGGTTCATGGTTTCAGAGACATCATGAAGAGTATGGGCTCCTTCTGAATGCCATCAGTGCTGTGTATGGTACTCTCGTGCAAGGAATTGGCCGGCCCAAATACTTCACAGTCTCCCTAAACCCTTAAGCCCCAAGGTAACAATGAGGGTCCAAGCACTCGGTAATCATATGCTTCCCCAAATCTTGTACAAGAATTGCTACCAATCCCAAGTACCCGATTGTTGGGTACATGGACCCTTAGGGTAAGTTTCTAGATCCAGTCAGAGCATGACCTACCCGAGACGGTATGCCCCCATGTTTTTCGGGTCCTGAAAATAGTTCTGCATGGTTGCCTAACCTCCATCAAGCGGGCAAAAAGTAGATGAACGCTCAGATCATGCACGAAAAACATTGGACTGCAGTCAACTTCCACCTGCCACGGAACCTTAGTGACCCTAGTACACATGATTACTGCGGCTGGATTCCATGAACGGACGCGAAGTACCAAGAACAGCTCTAAACGGAGACCCTTCTCAACCCTAAACCTTAAACCCTAAACCGGGTTTCTAAGGATGACCCCACTGTTTCCCATGTGCTAGAAACCGCCAGAATGCTCCCAGAAATCCTTGGGTGCATATGGACCCTTGGTTTCAATGACTCCCACATCCACACACGTTCTACCCCCCCCCCATCCCAGCCCGTCAGGACGAATCCCTTCACAGAACAATGCCGGCCCCAAACCTCAAGGTCCGCTCCAAACTGAACCAACCCTTCGTGCGGAGATTTGGAATGCAACTTCTACGTATATTCATTTCCGCACATGTTCGGGAATGTTTGACCAGGATATGAAGATGCAAGATACCCGTGCGGGTGCACCCTTGCACACGGTCTACTTGAACTGTTGATGTTAGATTGCCAGACTGTTCAGCGGCATTATGTTGGTTGTTTGCAGCTTCTGGATCCAACAAGACTGCCACTTATCCGAAAGTGTCACTATCCCTTTGGTTACTGAGCTTGGATGTCCATGAGTCCTGCGAATTGAGCCTTAAACCCTGAACCCTGCAATTAAAGCTAACGTTTTTATTTTTGTACCCTTTTTCAAGATACTCGTCACCTGCTTGTAACAACCTATGAACCTCCAAGTACCACCCATCGGATGCCGCATTACCCCCAACGCCGCCCCCCCCCCCACCACCCCAAGCAAAACGCTGTAAGATGCCTTAAATAGCATACAAGCTGACCTCCGTTTGGTGGCGTGTTAGGGTGGGGTTAGTTGAGGATCCTTTGAATGAGCTCTTTGGTAGCCATAATGTGCTCCGCAAGGGCATGCCCATTCGTGATCTTGCAGGGTTTAAAGCCTATAAGAGTTAGGAATTTCATTTTTGGGGTCCTGAGCTGCATGAACCACATTTGTTTTAAGCGAACACTCCTGCTGAGTCAGTAGGTGGAGTTTGAGGCAAAAAGGCTCTGCCATGTTCTACAGGTTCCCCTCTGCATTCCTATAGACATCACTCTACCCCAAGCTCCAAACCCTGGACCTAAACCCTGAAACTCTGGGAGGCATGGTAGACTTGCTCTTGGAAGTGGCCCAGTTTTGCGGATGCGTTATCATTGGCGAGGTTCCCAGCTACCTGAACGTAGGCCGGGAACAGGAACAGGGCCCGGTATGCTTGCGGGGGTGTTAAGAATTTAGCACCCTTTAGCACCCTAAACCCTCCATCCAGATATTCTCAAGATCCCCGAAGACGCTCCTGACTTTGAGGAAGGCCCAGGTCCTCAGTGCAGTCTTTAACATCTTCCCTGACACCGTGCCAGAACCAAATCCTAGGAAGAAGCGCCCGGACAGCGACTCAACAAGCAGCTTGAGCAGCTAACATTCCAGTACATTTGCAACTCAAGCTGCTGAAGTCATAGCTGCTATGGGTTGGGTCACACTTAAGTCAGCCTGACCAAAGTAGTCCTTCGCAAGATGTTTTTATGGGGTAGTGTGGTCCCCGAGACCATGAGCTCAGCATCCGATGCATCGCAGGCAATGCGTGGGACCTCACGCGCAGCATCATCCCAATCCTGCTTCCCGACAGAATATGGGGGTTTCCCGAAATTAGGGGTACCATTCTGGGGGTCCCCAATATTAAGGGTTATAGTATGTTGGGATCTATATTGGGGTCTCCCTATTTTGAGAAACTACCATATGGGTCAAGGGTTTAGGATTTATTGCTTTTGGTCTAGCTTTGTGGCACTGGGGCATCAACATCTCTACCTGGTTTTAATTCAGAGGTTTACAGCTCACGCTGGCGGTTTTCCGCATGTCGTGTACCTCAGTTAAAACCTTCTGGAGCGGTAGTTTCCTCTAGCATGTCTTTTGTTCCTGGCCTAGGCCTTTAAACCCTCGTATGCGGATAACTCCTGCATGCGGAATTGGCAGCGGCTGCCTCAGCAAATGACTCCACATGCGTGCCTGAAGAGTACTGCTGCTGCTGTACCTGCTTCCCAAGAGTTGAGTCGTTGTGACGCCCTTTTGCGTGTAGGGCAAGTGTAGTCGCCAGAGATAAAGAAAGTGAGGGTAATCATCAGCAATGTCCCTCTTACAGCTTTCGCCTGCACGCTAATTAGGCCGTACACCCCGCTGGGAGAAGACCTTAAAGATTGCATTCTGGCTTTTGGCAACTAAGTTGTTTTCATACCCCAATATATTTCCTATATAACCCTTATACACCTTAAACCCCAAAGCTAGCCAAGTCATGATATCAGTCAATGCTCCCTCAATACGGGTAGGGTACGGGCTCCAAGGTAAACCCTGATAATGTCAGAAACAATGTGTACATATGAACTGTAGCCTGAACTCCTTAAAGGGGCTTATATAGGGGACTACATAGGGTTCCTATTATAGGGCTTATTAAGGGGGATACTACTGGGAGTTTAGAGTATAGCTCATATGATATTGGAGCTTTACCCCAACAATCCTCACATATTCCCTCTGCCCGGAAGGTTCCCCAAACTCAAAACCTGGATCAGCTTCTGGTGGGTTTCTTCATAGAACTTCCAAAAATAGTCCCTTTTTCGGTGGCGGGGACCAAGTAACCCCAAGCCTTCAGACCCTCAACTATAAAACCAAGTCATTGTCATCATTATTTCTATTTCTCTATTACTACTATGCCTACTAAAAGTGTTTTTTTTCACAATGACTATTACTAGCCTACATACAAACTACGATGACTCTAGTTTTTATAGAAGAAAGGGGCACCCTAGACTCTAAATCCTAAACCTAAACTTAGCCCTGAACCCTGATCCCTAAACCTTAATCCCTAAACCCTGAGCCCTAAACCCTAAACCCTCAATTTCCAGAGCACCTGATATAGGCTGCTCTTCTTCCATGACAGCCGGCTGCTACACCTACTTATCGTGCCACTGCGTGTCTTCAGTAAAAGGGAGGGTTTATGATATAGGGTTCAGGGTTTAGGGTCTAGGATTTAGCGTATAGGGTTCAGGGTTTAGGGTTCAGAATGTAGGATTTAGGATTCAGCTTCAGGGCTTTCGGGCTTAGTTTTCAGGATCTAGGCCTTAAACTTCCTGGTTGTTTGCCGGGAAGGAAGGAATGGACAAGAAACTGCTGCACGAGGGGGAAGGGTTCAGCTTAGGGCATGGAACAACCGAACCAACACACCCTAAACTCTAAACCCTACACCCTCAGAACCTGCCAAAGGAGCCCATTCCTCCATTCTACGCGAAGAAGCAGTACAGTATTTAAACTTTAGCAGGTCTTCATTTGGAGCTTCAGATGCAGCATGGGGACATATAGCACTCATGGTTTTAAGTCAGAGGCTTCTGAACCATCTGGGCTGTTTTCTGTGGACTTGTGCCGTATGCATTGTTTCTAATTTGCGTTGTATTTTCGCATTGCTGGTTTTGATGAATACTAAGGTGACACGTCTGAAACGGGTAGTCTTTTTGTTGAGCTCTGTTGTGTCCCCTACGAGAAGCATCACTGGGTCGTTTTGAGGGCGCTACTTTGGTACGTAGCCAAGCTAGTCTGCCAAAATCATCTTGAGGTTTGTTTGAGGTACCACAACTTTACAAGGACTCTAGGACCATAGTATTGGTAATTGCTTCAGCCCAATTTTAAACTCTTATGTTTCAGGAAAATGGGCTTGGGCTTAACTAGGACTATGACCGCGGGAAGACTATTGGATCAGATCTATGGAGATCATAGGATTATTAGTTGTACCTCCTAACCATTGCGCAGGGCGTAATCTTGATACCCTGCATTTTCTGGTGTTGCTTTTTGTTCTTGACTTCGGCTTGCCCTCTCCCAGACAGTCCTAAAACCCTGTTGGCATGAAGAGATCTAATGTTGAGCACTGGAGGTTGAGGTTCAAGTTTGAGGTCTTATGGGAATCCCCTACCGATGACATAATGGGTGATGCCCCCTCAAACATGAGGAACCCCATGCATGCAACGACGCCTCCCTTCAAGCATCTGCGTCCAGGGAGTGCAGATTATTTTCAGGAAGGTAAACATGAAACCGGCTTGGACTCCCTCAATGCCTGAGCGACAGCCCCTCAAGCGCTATCCGCACGCCTACTCACAACCTGCAGCGCGGACCAAAAACCCTGCAGCCCTTGGCCCTGACTCTCATCACGACACACTGCCCCGAGTTCAGAATACTAAAGATACGGCGGCCCACCTCGACCCCGCAGCTAGGCCAAGCAGGGCCCAGGGCTTACCCCTACCTAGAGTTGAGGGCGTAAATTATTGAAAGGGTTTTAAGCTGCGTAGGACTTCACTCAAGGGACGCTATATGTATATATATATATACACACACATAAAAATGAGGTTGGTGTTCATAGGGGTCTATGGGCATTCAATAGAGGCCAACAGTGCAGATTGAGCGTTTGGGAAGTGGTTTGTAAATCCAGCATGCAGAATTTCCGCACTTCGTAGCTTGTTGTGTCGCTTGTCTTCTTGTTGATTCCCAACCTTGTTAACATACCCAAGCTGGCCCCAGTGGGATCTGTCCCTGTGTTTTTCTGGTGTCATTGCTTGCCCTTCTCGCTGGAGCCCTCCCACCCTCGTTTCTCTGCAAGAGCTTCTAGACCTCGTTCTGCCGCAGAGGGGGCAGGGCTAGCTTAGCGAATTTCCTGAAACGGTTTAGAAACCACGAAGTGAAACTACAACTACGTAGCGGCGGGTGGGTTTTGAAATCGCGTTTCTACGGCTGGCGCGGTCGCTGCTGCTATGCTGTTTCCGGTCGGGTAATTGCAAATGATTCCAAGTTATCGCGTAACTACGGTTTCGTAAATATTTCAGGCCACGGACCCTCCCCCCCAAACAAAACAACAAAAATGCGCCTGCGGCCATGGCGGCAGGTCGCATTGAGATTGCGGGGCTGTGGGGCGTGGGCATACTATTGTCTGAGTCTCTCAAAAGTGAGATTGATGCAGAGTTTCCACCGCAAGAGCCTCCCCCGAGAGAGGAGCCGGTGGCTCCAGCGGAGCCAGCCCCCAAAAGTGCGCGATGAGGATATCGCCAGAGACAAAATCATCAGATGTGAGCTTCTATCACAATCCAAATCTGCAATTCAAGAAATCCATCAAAACGGAGTAGAAGACAGATTAGCTATGAAACGTGGGGGTCACACAGTTAGACTCTTGGTCACAGTTGTAATTCGTATACGTGACAGGATGCTTCGAAATGTGCTGATCGTTTGGAAGAGACCTGATGGGAAGGTATGCCCGCAACTGAAGACTCGAGACCCAGATTCCATCCCCACCAGACCGCAAACCTGAAGTCCCAAACCCCAAACCCTAAGCAAAATTCAGTGCAAGCTTATATCCAGAAACATGTAAAGATACCCGTATTCTAGGCCTTTGTATTGTTAGATATGTTTGCTTGCTCTGAATAAGCCCTGTACGCCCTAGTTAATAGTCCATACTAGTCCCTCTTACCCTACCCCTCCCTAAAAATGCACTCTACCCAGTTTCCTTTTCACTTACCCTGCGCTTTTCCACTGCACTTTCCATCATTCGTTCTTTTTTTCTGAAGCATCCAGGTAGACCTGAACTTCCCGCCCTAAACCCTAAGCCCTGAACCCTAAGCCATACCTGAACCACAAAAGGATGTAAAATAATGGCCTTTATGGCTATTATTAGGGGTTTAGGGCTATCCTAAACCTTTAGCACTAAGATGTGCCAGGTGCTGATCTACTGGATGCGGCTGTTGGAGGTGGAGCCAACGAAGCACAGGGGATTTGGGTTTTAAGTTTTAGGGCGTAGAGCTTACGGCTTAGCGAGTTGGATCATCGTTGATTGTCGTTTTTTTTTTGGTGTAGCTTTTTTAGCATTTAGTTTCAATAAGCATGTAAAAGAGCATGTAAAAGTATACTTGAACCCCATTCTAGGGGCTCTCCACAAGGGGTTCCTAAACCAAATGAAGAAATTCATACGTGATACGTCCCAATGGTAAACGAGGAAGCAGCACACATAGGACTTGCAAGTTTAGGTAAGGTTTGGAGGCTCATTCATGGGTTCCCGTAGCCCTACCCCCATATACTACCTCTCCCTAAGCCCCCGTTAATGAGGGCTTTTAGAGGGTTGTTGGGCCAGGGGAGCTTAAGGGGGGTAGTAGGGGGTGGTGGGGGCAGAAGGGGGACCCATGAAGAGTGTAAGAACCTTAGCCTGATAACAACTAACCTGGCAAATGCATGAATGTTTCACATGCGCTCAGAAGCAATTAAAGCCATTCCTACACATTCCTTTGAGCAGCTATTCCTAAAACCAATGCAGATCCATTCTTGAGAAACAATTCCTAAAATCAATTTCCCAAACCCGGTCTTTTCTAAAGTGCGCATGCATGCCTCCAAGGTATGCTTTTAGGGGTTGCGGCACAGGCGATCGCCCCCTGTTAGGAAATGGGTTTTGAGTGTTAAAACTCAAGGTGTTTTTTTGGACGCGTTTATTGAGGCTTGCCCCCACGCTACGGAGGGTTTCGGGCGGCGGGGCAGCATCATCAGCAAAATTGGGCCTTCGTTTCTGACTTGTGGACACCTCAACATACCTAGGGTTTTGGAAGGGGTGTTGGAACCTCATACGTGTAGGAATTGGGGGCCCAAACAGGCCCCATTCATGCTCGTGCGCTATGAGCCCCAACAATACGCGCAAACTACGTGCAGTGGGCAGTATTTGTGGCTGTAAATACCTGTGTTGGTAGCACTTGCTCTGCATGACAAACATGCGAAAGGCTTTGCATGCATTGCCCAGACTAAGCCCTATAAGCTGTGCAAGTTGCATGGTCGCTTAACGTGTTTTGCCAATATTTCCTGCATTTTTTGTGGCTAAGCTATGATGTTGCAGCATTTTAGCTTCTCAAATACACAAAAATGTCGCTTCTGATTTGCCAAAAATGTGTTCAAAGCTGTTGTTGATGGCTTGTCTTGAGTTTTTATGTAACCCTTTCTGGGCCCGACCACGCCAAAATGGGAGAGATAACCAGGCCTTCCAAACCTGAAGAACCATCCCATTCAGCAGAAGAACATCTCCATCAGCAGGGCTGGGCTGGTCTTGGTTTTCAAATGATGGCTGGGTGGGCGGGGTGGCGGCGGCCAGGCCGGCACTGAATCTGGGCATGCGCAACTAGCATTTACCACTGCAATGCCACATGTCTCATAGTTGCCAGCTTCCAGAATTGAATCTTCAACGCGCCACAGCCATCTTCGCTACGGTTCCGCGACAATGCTGCGGCGACAGCGAGGACGACGACGATGATGACCATCGCCACCACTATACCGACATCGCCATCAAGATTAGGTTGCTGTTAAGGAACTTGAAATGAGGAAGCCCTAATGTTTACTATGTACTTATATTATGGTCACTCGGCTTAAGTTCCTAAACACCAATCCACAAAACCTTGTTGTGGAGTTCGGAGAGAGAAGGGGACAGGAGGCAGGGAGGCAGGGAGGGGCCTAAAAACTGCAGGAACAATTTGACTCTGGAAGGGGTTTTGGCAGGACGTCCACAATGCGAACAATGAAAAGGATCTTACGCTGTAAAATGCATGTTTTCCATGTTTGGAGGGCTTTCTTTGTTCTGGGCCCCTAGCGCCAGAAATCTTCAGAAAATGAATTATTTTGTTTCCAGTGTACAAGCCATTTTTTCAAATGGTGGCCTCCTTCCAAAATCCATTCCGAAAATCAATGTTTTTCCATTTCGTTTTGGGCTCCTGGAAATCTCCATCTTTTGCCAGCCCCCCAAGTCCATTCCAAAAATCCACCCTGCTTTGGCCTCCTCTCAAAATCTGTTCCTGGGTGGGTTATTGTGAGGCCGGCGGCCGTAGTCATAGCCGGGCAACCACGTAGCCAGCACATGTTTGTGGGGCAGAGCCGACAGGTCATCGTCGTCTCCATTCGTGCTGGCAGAAGCTGTCTGAAACTGCGACTGCTGTACAACATCGGTATTGTTATTGAGCAATAGCAAATTCAAGGTTGGTAAGTTGGCTAGATCATATGTGAATGCCAAAACAGCTTTGCGACTAAGCTAAATATGTCCGATAAACACACGCACACACACACATATATATATATATACATATGTGTGAATCACCTTGTTTGGAAAGGATCTCTGAAATACAACACACTTTTCTGCAACAGATTTCCGGAGCACATCGTCAAACCGCTTTTCATTTGAAATGTGATTCCCAAATTGACTTAAAACGCATTAGGCTGTCACCAACAACCCGCCCACTTGCCTAGCAGTCTTTGAAATCCTATCCTCAACCCTGAACCCTCAAGCGCTCATATTGGTGCGTTGAGGACGGATTCAGGGGTCAGCTGTGTGTATCCGCGGTTTAGGAAACTCACCGCATAAGGTGGAAATTACTAGGGTATGCCATTGCAAAAGCAACCGCGGCCACTCACATGCACACATTTGAAGAATGCCTTGGTATTCCACTGAATAGACATACTGGATGTGATGGTGATGTGTACCGGATACAAACGGCTGTGAGCACTTAACTTAGAACTGCATTTTGGGGTACTCAATTACAGCCCTAGCCGTTGCACCGCGTGGCAGGGCGTTACCTACTCTGAGAAGATCGGCCACGCCTTGCTGCCGCTGCAGAAGCTCGCGACAGGTCTTCTTCCAGAGCCCAAGCTCAATACCTGAAACCCTAAGCCGCTGTTCAGGGTTTAGGGTTAAGTGTTTAGGGTAGGGTTTCGTGGATGTTTCTAGGGTGAGGGTTATAATACAGCTGAACAAAGATCTCTTTGTTCTTAGGGCAACAGGAACCGAAACATTGGAAGCTCGCTTACTGTTCGTTATTTGTACTCCTGACAATTAGCTGACAGTACCTGTTCGATCAGGGTTACGGAGAAGGCACTTTCTGTAACGATTTATGTTCCTTCTAGGTCCTGACATAACAACTTATAACTTTATATATATATATACCTTATAGTCTTCGGTTGGGTAGCCAACAAATCTCGCACCCGTATTTGCAGCTTCCTAGCGTCCCAGCGTCTGCAGAATGGGGTACCCAGTAAAGTTGGCATGGCGAGAATTTTCAATATGTCAGGAATCTGCGCAATCCAGGTATCCCTCAATGAGTTTGGAGAGTTTAGTGCTAAATCATGCAGGTTCTTGAGCAGAGTTTGGGCGCCCAGGTGACATAGGACTGTCGAAAAATGAGTGAAGCTGCCCGATTTGAGCTGTAAAGTTCTCCAGCATGGTACCTTCCTAGTGGTTATGTAGAGAATGAAGGAATGAAAGTCATGGAGCTCTTTTCATTGGGGCTTAGAGAGGGTCTGCTATCGGGAATCAGAGGGCAACGGTAGTGTAATTCCTGATAGTAGTCCTTAGATACAATTCCGCAATGTAGTCCCTATGTTTCTCATAAGTCTTCAAACTGCCAGTGTGTTGCAGACAAGGGGGTATATGCGCAGAGCAGGATGTACGCTACACCACTATAAGAGCCATAAACCCTAAACCCTATTTCGGCGGTACTCCGCCCTGTCAGGCTTTGTAAGAAGAGCGCATCATCAGTTTCAGGTTTGGCCTTGCGCGGTTTAAGGTTTAGGGGTTTAGGGTTTAGGGTTTGAGGTCAAAATTATCTTAACCTGCATTCCTGTGATTGCTAGATGCGAGGTTGGTATGTGATTTTCCAAGCAGACCATCTAGAAGGAGTCAGCTCCAACATGGCCATGTAGCCTGAAGGCCTACATTGCCTATCTGTTCACAGAACGGCCTAACTCTTCCTCAACTTTTTGAACCCTGCTTCGGATTGAATAAAGACCCTGTGCCAGCGGACTATGTCCTGGCGTGCCACGAAGCGCAAAATGTGGGGTTTGGGTTGGAGAATTGAAAAGGAAAAAGACATTACGCTACAATCAAATCTTGGAAAATTGTAATAGGAAGAAGAAAGCCATAAGAACAGTGCGGGTCACGCCAAGAGAACAGGGTTTTAATGCGACCCTACTTGAGCTATAGTCTAAACTCCTTGAAGGGGGTTTTATAGGGAATATTTCGGGAAGTATTATAGGGGTTAAGAGGGAAACTAGGGGCTTAGACTATGGCTCACTCGAGAAGCATTCTAAAACTCCAAGGCCATGACCTTCACACTGGTTGGCTTCTGTGCCCTTACGCACGCAATGTACGCGGTGCAGGTGTTACGCGGCCGCCGTTGGTTCAGGTTGGAGAAGTTTTGTCGAGGTCGATGTTTTGTGGTGGGCTGAACCTGTGCATGACTATGTGGCTCATGAACGCCTTTTGCAAATACTAAGAATTCGCTACACTGCTGCTTGTGCCGCTACGTACTACTTGCTGTTCAATGACTAGCAGGATGCTTCTTCTTCTTGCTACTTATTCACCCTACTACTAACTACTAACTAACCATGGTTATGGCTGAGCAAGCAACGGCCCATCAGACCCCAATCCGTCAATTCCAGCCAGCAGTGGTCCAAGGCACGCACAACACCTGTGGCCAAACACGCTCTTCAAGACCTTCACCACGCTGATCACCCAGGCAGCTAGTTTATAAGTAGCAGCTATATATATACACATACATATATACATATATATATACACATATATATAATACAGAGCTTGTCACAAGCAGTGCGCTGTGGCTTATACCAGGTTGTACGGTGCTATCTCAGGCTATGGGTGTTGAGTTCGGGTAAGGGTGAGCAGATGTTCGACAGGTTAGGGGAGCCACATGGACTGGGTAAGGTAAGAATCTAGTTCCCAATTCATGGTCTTTGATTTCTTGCACAACTAAGGTATAAAGGTATCTCACATTGTCTTCGAAATTGTATTGGCATTTGTTTAGGCTCGTGCGGTAGCGTGGGGCTTGGCGTGTTGAAGACGTTGACCTACAACTACACTGGCTTCAACCACTACACGGTGTGAATGTGCAAGCTTAACCCGTTGTAAATACCCTACACATCTACAAATGCTTCTAGGGTGTGGGTGAAGTAACTTGAGAAATCGGCGCGACCCCAGCCCAAACTGGTGTTTCGTCAAGGAATTACTCTCAAGTTGGACTAGTTTCAGGTTATTGAAAAATGCATTCTATGGCTAGAGTCAAGGGTTTTGAGACGCTGCATGGCGCGCCAAAATTTTCTCACATATCTCACATATTGCTCACAAAACTTGGAGGTTCATGGCCAGTGCTGCCCACCGACCATCTGCTCTTACAACCGGGATTTTCGAGAGGATAACACAGTTTATCACTTGTTGTTTGAGCTTGTTGGAGGTACCTTCCCAAAGCCCACACACCCCTTGGCTCCCTACTCCTGAATATGAATACCCATTTACCTTCAAGAAGCCATGTTCCCTCCACTTAATAATACCATATAGTACCTAGAGTAGCATGTGTACTTTACAAACCAGCTTGAAGTATCTTTGCCTGTTATGGGGTCATATCAGTGTTCTAGGCAACAGGAATCTCTTGCCTGTCCAGTAAGTAATCTTAAGCTCTCGAGGTCGAATTTATTGCCAACCCTAAGCCCTAAAACCGGACATACATGAACAGCTCGGCCTTGGCAAACCTCTAGAAGCTGGACACGTTGGGGTAATAATCGGAGCTTTGGTAAATGTGGAAGCCTGAAATTTTCTGAATATTGTCCCCGATGCTATCGCCTAAGATTCCCGTGAAAATTGTTTTGTGGCGTTTTGGCTTGCGGTTGGTGATAGTTAGCGGAGTGAACAACGATTGCTTATAGGACATGTATAGGGATCCACTCCTTTACTTGGAGGGTCGGCGGGACGTAGTAAGTAGGTTATTAATAATCATAAGGACAAGTGTTGGGGCTACTAAGTCCCCTGACCCTTCAAGTCTTCCCTACTAACCATGAGTAAGACTGCCCACATGGCCAGGGCCTGCCGGAGGAACCGCCGGAAGACGTCCTTGAATTGATGGTGCTCTACGGAGGCTGGGGGATGTTTCGGTCTAGAATGGTTGTGATGGAGAGAGCAGATTTCGGAGATGGATGTGCCCCATAAAATGTACTGTAGGACCTTTGCCTTTGCGCAGTACGCTTCTTTGAGAATCCTGGTAGTTCTTGCACGCAACAATATTCAAGGTAACCTGTGAAGAATGAACCCTGTATATCACAGACTGGACATAGGTGTCCTCCAAAGGTGCAATATATGTAGTTTTCCTACATGCATCCAAAATGAATGCTCCAGCATTCTTGAAGAGACCCAAGCAAACACTGCCTAGAGGTGCATGACTATCCATACATAGGGTTATATCGGAATTCCAATATCAGGTGATATTTAAGTAGGGGGCGTGAAGGTTTCACCTCCTGCTGTCGGCCGCTCGGTCATCGCTCGATCGCTCAGTCAGTGTCAGTCGCTGGGTCGGTCGGCATCTTAGTCAGAGCGTACAGTGCAGGTATGGCTATTCATGCCGACAAAGCTACTTGACTGACTTGCTGTCAAGGAACTTAATTCAAGTTACTATCTTGGTGAAACCGTAATAATTGCGATATATACCCAGTAAGGCAACTCACTTTAAGTTCCCTAGCAGCTACCAAGTAACAGTCAACCGACCAACCGGCAAGAGCCCCGGCCTTCAGCAAGAAGAACTGTTGGTCACCAGGCAAGACAGCCACATCTCGGAAGATAAAAACTGGGTTGCTGTCAAGGATTTTGAACTAAGCTACCATAATGGGTATATATATGGTACTTAACATGTATTCCCCAATATAGTAAGTTAAATTACGTTCCTTAACAGCAACCCAGAGAAGAGAGAGACTTCCAGTTCACCATTCCCTTCAGGCTGACCACAACCCCCTCAGCCTACGACGAATAATTACATAATCCTTAAATGGTGCCATACACAATGGATGATGATTTTCAGTGGGTTGGGAGGGGTTATCCGCAGGGCACCATGTTTCTGAGACTTTCGCAAACCCTAAGGGTCCAAGTACCAAATAGTCATATACTTACCCAAAACCTATATCATAATTGCTATTAATCTAAACCCAGGTACCTCATTTTGGGGTAGGTGGACCCTCTAGGAAAACAGGGGTATCCTCAGGGACACTGGGCTCGGGGGGCCTCGCGACGCGTTCCACACGTCAAGACAGCCAAAACTCGGTGGGAACCCCGAAAGCCCAGAGCAAAGTCATTTAGGCTTTAGGGTTCAGGGTATATAGGGGTTATATTGGGATAATGGAAAATAAAATGGAAATTGCTACAGGGTTGAGGGTCTATAGGGGTTATATACAAAAGTGTTGAGTCCTGCATGCTCCTGGTGGGAAACGGGACGAGTGTCGGCTGGTTTCCTGTTTCCCCTTGCCCTTTTCCTAGCCACCTGCTGCGAATGGATATGACGGGTTGTCAGAATTGTCTTTTTGCGTCCCCGGTGTAGTACGGCCTCCTATACCTGAAAGACCACAAGTTCCACAACTCGCTACATGCGGACAGGCTTTGGTGCCTTTTTTTTCAAGATAGTCCTTGGTCCAAAGCCCTGGACCTCAACCATTTAACCAGCCGGACAGGGCGCGTGGAGCAAGATAGCTCCGAGTACATAGTGGGAGACAGAAGTTCTTGCTTTCGCTCTGAGCGCTTTTGTCTCTATCCCCCAGCCCAAGCCCTCATACAGCAGCACAACACACACAAATAATCTTGACAGGGGTGTTATTCTTTTCCGTCTTCGTGCTGAACATTTTCATCGGCGTCATCGGAGAGCAGTATACAAAAGAGAAAGATCAGGCCGCTGCTGCACAAATGGGGGGATGCCTAGTTGCGGGCTGAGCAGGATTGCAAGCATCATTAGTTGGGCAGGCATAGCAGTAGTCAATGTGTATGAGTCACCCGAGCGGCCCCCGAGTACCCAAGTCCTGCGAGCCCTCATCACGGAACCTGTCTTCGAGATTCATCGGCAACTGCAAGAAGCATAGGTCCAAGTACACAGCTATGGCCTTGACTATGGACAATGTAGACCCCTGACAACTACCCCCTCTTCTCATAAAGATGCAAATATGGATCTTACAATTTGGGCCCTCATACAACATGGCTTCACACATTGGAGGCCTAATTCGACTGTCAAACGAATGAAAGAATCTCCACGACTCCGAAATTCCAATTTTTGGCCCACAACCCAAAACCTAATCTTACATGCGCAAATTAAACTCCAACAAGAAATCCGTGCATCACCAGAGCTTGACTTTTCTACTTCCGGCGGTATGAAAGGAGCTGCATAGTTGAGAGCTTGGGCTTAGGGTTCCTATTCCCAGCAAACATCCTCCTTGACCGGAAAGGGACCCACATCTTCGATCGCCAACGTAGCAAGGGAATTGTCAAGGATGTTGCCCTCTTCAGGGGCTCCTGCATAAGACGCCGGCCCCACGTCTGCGATTGTTCAGGGTACTCCAAAAAAATACACTGCTTACGGTCCATACATGCCACCCGAGCACACGTTTGGAGCCCCTTTGGTACACATGAGCCGCCGCAAGGGCAATGAGGCGACCTTGAGTTCCCCTTCGACATGTATTTGGGAAAGGGACAGCTGCGGCACTGTTTAGAAGAAGCATCTGCAGCAGTGCAACCTTGCCAAGCTAACTTATGGTGTGCGTGTCTTTGTGAAACGTGGGCTAGAGAATTCATGCGTGGAGGGTGTTTGTTGTTTCAGCACTTAGTTCTCCTAGACCCTAACCCCTAATCCGTGCTCTTGATTCATAAGGGCGCCCCGGCACCTAGAGTAATAAAAAAGCCTCATAATGTTTCAGGGGCCCCAGATGCCAAAGGAGAGTTCAATTGTGAATAACGTCCACGGAATCCCGATTGGGGTCCCAGGAAAATCGATATAAGTCCAATTAAAATACAGTCAAATCCGATTTGACTCCGATTCAAAATCAACATAAATCTAATCAAAATCCATTCAAATCTGATTCGACTCCGATTAAAATCAATATACATCTAATTAAAATCCATTCATATCTGATTGGACCCCAGTTAAAACCCATATAATTCCAATTAAAATCCATTGAAATCTGTTTGGACTCCAAATAAAGTCAATATGAAGCTACTTAAAACCCATTGAAATCTGATTGGACTCCAATTAAAACCAATATAATTCCAACTGAAATCCATTGAAATCTGATTAGGTTCCAATTAAAATCAACATAAATCTAACTAAAACCTGTTGAAATTCGCGTGGACTCCAATTAAAATCAATATACATCTAATTGAAACCCATTGAAATCTGATTGGACTCCAATTAAGACCAATAAAGTTCTAGTTGAAATCCATTGAAATCTGATTGGGCTCCAAACAAAATCAATAGGATTCTAATTGAGATCCATTGAAATCTGATAAAAAGTGCCAGAAAATTTGCTATTATTCTGGATGGTTTTCTAGTCATCCATGCAGCAGCACCCGTAAGGGGTAGCTCAGGAAGCAATGTTTGGTCGTGAAATTCCTGATAAAGTTGCGTAAGCAAGTCCTGTTTGCGGGACCTTCTCTGAAGTCTAGAGTTAGTAGGTCCCTACTCCTACTTTCCTGGAATTACAGAACAGGTTTGAGGTTTGATTAGGGTATAGGGCCCCAGATTTAGATTGCCTAAAACTTGCCTGGAGCCTCATCTTCTCAGGGTTTGCGGATAATTTTCTTTAAATCCAGGGTGTTGTTGGCCCAAAACCTGTGTCCGCCCTTAAAAATTAGCCTTGGCACCCCTAATTTGGCCCGAATGATCTTCTTCAAATTTAAGGGTGTTTTTTAGTCAAGAGCACGGATTACAACACACCCCAACTCACAAAGCTGACCGTGAAGCACCCAACAGCCAAGGTATCCAGAGCCCCACCCCTTAATCCCAGGATGCCCACATGATCTTAGCTACAAACCCTGAGTTTGTTGTGGAAAGAGCTTAAGCTACCATGATATACGCGCATGGTGAACAATAGTTTGATCCTTATACTAGTCACTTCATGTAAGCTCCACGGCAGCAACCCAGAATGGGCAATATCCGAAGAAAAGACTCAGACTTGAGCAGCGGCGGAAGCTTTAAGTTCATGGTGGGTAGTGAGAAGCCAGAAGTACAATCAGGTCAGTAAGAGCTGTGGCTGCTGTTATCCTGCCTGCAACCCCAGGGTTATGTTGTTATGAACCTCCAACTAGTGCCTACACTGTAAACCCCCTCAACCTTAAATTACCCTTCCACCCCGAGTCTTCAATCCTACACCCGGAACCCCAAGCCGAAGACGCGAAATCTAGTACAGGGTTTAGCCTGCCCTATGCGCTACTAGAACCTCAAAAGTAGTAGACACACTGACTAATGACCCAAAACCGATTAAAAAAAAGGGCCAAAGAGACCAGGTTTTTTCCTGCAAACTGTTGGTGTTCTGGAAACCTGAACTCCTCGCAGGTTGGCCTGATGTTCATCAGCGTGCGGGTCCGGGCCCCAAGCCGTCTCTTCATGACGTCTTGGGGATATGAGCCATAGTCTAAGCTCCTTAAAAGGGTTATATAGGGGATAATATACGGGAGTATAATAGGGCTTGTAAAGGGGGATGCGAGGAATTTAGATTATAGCTCATCTAGGGATTCTGCAAGGCTTGTGGAGATTTAGTGTTCAGAGAGTCCAGGCTTCAAAGTTGAGATTCAAGGGGGTTGGGTGTAGGGTTTAGGGTTTGGGGTTTGCGTGTGGGTTTGGGGCTTGAGGCTTAGGGTTTTGGTCTAGGCTTGGAGCTCAGGATTTAGGCTATGGGTTTTAGGCCTTGGGTGTACGGCTTAGAGGTTGTTTTGCACAAAGAAAGTGCATTCTCACTCAGGCGCCCTTTCGAAAGGCAGTAGACTTTGTAGGATTGTTTTGTGATCTCATGTTCATCTCCTCTACCAACATGCGATCACAACAGACCTCCCAACCCCTGTAATTAAAAGGTTTTTCCCTGGTGATTATTGGGGGGCATTCATTCTTGGTAGCGTGGAAGGCCAGTTCTTGGGGTAGGGGCTGCCCTAAATCTTAAATCTAAAGCATATGGATTCTTAGTTGAGGAGATTCTTGCGCCGCCTGAAGCTCCGAAGTGTTTTGGACCCCTTAAAAAGACACCAACACCTAAACACCTACAGCAATGTTCGGAACCCCCCTTGCCCTGACCCCTCCCCTGCATAATGTGTGGGGGAGTGCTCCTAACAGGAGGCGGCCTGGGAGGGTCTAGAAGATAATGTGGAAGCCAAAACGTTAGATCTTAGGAGGACCCCCCACCCAGTAATACTGACTATAAGGGACAATGGGATTATATTAGGGTCCTCCTATATTCTTATTATACCACTATTACAGGGTGGGGGGTCCTCCTAAGTTATATCGGGGTTTAGGTAGGGGGATACTAGGAGTTCAGACTATAGCTCAGCTCTTAGAGGGGTCATGTAGGGGTATGTAGAGCGTATAGGGTAATCATTAGCCAGTAGTGGAGAAGCAAGCGGGGTAGAAAATGGAAGCTAACATGGGAACTAGATTGTTATAGGGGTGTATAGGCATTATGTAACGTAATGCAATGTAATGTAATGTAGAACTTGAAATAGCTTCCAATATTATGGTCAGTTTTTTGAGTAACTATGGAGTGGAGCGAACTTTTGGCCAAACGGGAAAATGGGAAGGTTGCAGCGTGGAGCGAACTTTTGTCCCGCAACCAGGCAGAAGCACAATAAAGACATGCTCTGAACTGGAAGCCCAAGAGTCCTGCCTGTTGAATTCCTCTAGGACCCGCTCCCCCCCAACAACTTTGCCAAATCTAATTGGGGGACTGAGGTTACTTGCTTGGGGGGGGGTTATACTCAGAACCCGCTGTACGCTGCTGCATTAGAGCGATGACACGGAGATTAGAGGATTCTCCTTACAAGAGGTGATTTTTCACTCTGTATTTGGCTGACAGATGGAGCTTCTGAATTATTGGGTACCGCATGGTGCGCGTTTGGGGAGACAACGAATCATCGTCTGATACTTCCTATGTCTCTGGCTCCAAGTGAGGATACCCCTAACCCTCAGAGACCCATGTTTCTCAATTGCAACTGGCAAGCGAGTGACCTGCAAGTCCAAAGATTCTATGCTTTGAGGTTTTGCTTGGGATTAGCGGTGCATGCAGGAAAACTTGCACCACATGGTACCCGCAAAGTATGGTATTTCCATGAGCGGCTCTATAGGGTGGTGCAAGATTTCCCACACCCACAGCGGGGTTGCGGAGCTCGAATCCTAAACCCCAAGCCCTTGAGATTTTTGAACTAGTTGGGGGGAGGCTGCTGCAGAAAGAATGCGCTCTTACTATCTGGGCAAGTTCTAACTAGCTCCTATGAGCTTACCGCTGATTGTAATCATCAGCTACGCATAGGGAATATACCCTGCAAACGGAAGTACAAATTTAGTGTTCCCCAGCTGATATTTCTGCTAGTAGAGCATTGTTATCACTTGCTTTCTTCTTTCACTGTTAGCTTCCCACTCTTACTGTTTTTCAAGGATTCCAGGAATGATCCGAACAAATGGGTGCTCTTTGGCCGGCACTTTTGCCCCCTCGGGACTCCACCTGGAGACCAGGAATGGACTGCGAAGCCGTGATCCCAACCCATAGGTAGCGGGCATGGTGGGCTTTAAGGCTAAAACCCTAACCCTAAAATCCTAAACTGGACTTGTGAGCGTGAGGCTTCCTCTTGCCTCACCTACCTGCTGCGCATCATCGTTTTTCCTTGCACCCTTGGCATCAATTAACTAGGCAAGTTCGAAGAGGACTTCTCCTTTACTTGCTGGCTCTTTGTAGGGAAGGAGT